TTTTAAGATAAATTTACCATCGACATGGTATACTATAAGATTATGTAAGGTATTGAATTAAAAAGGTTTAAAGCACTACATACCAGTTTCTTAAATCTCCTTATCAACCTTATCATCACCACTATCAGGCCTCGCCTGACCTAGACGGATTCCTCTAAAAACTACCCGGCTCCACGCCGCCTTGTCAGATATAAGTCATATAATGACACTCAGGTCTTTCAGGGCAATAAAATAACAATTTCATTCATCTCTCAGGTACAGATAATGAGTACCTTCATATTTTGTGACTACATGTATATCAAACCTTTTTTCATTGTTCGGTTTATATTTCTTTAGTTGTTTCTCATGCTTGTTTGCGATATACATTTAAACTGAAATGAAATGAAACTATCGAAAGCTATTCATGACAATGCTGACAAAGACGAGCAGAAACGGTTAATTACCTCTCAAATCACCGACTTCTTACATTAAGATATGCTTATATTAATTTCCCAATTTCTATTTCTTTCTGGAAGGCTAACGCCACTCGTTTCCTACATTTTAAGAATATTTGAAATGCAACCTCATTTGCCCATAATTTTATAATCTTCACGTGGTAGACGGCTGTGTGAGTGTCAAGTGGTAGACGGACTGTGTGAGTGTCACGTGGAAGACGGGCTGTATGAGTATCACGTGGTAGACGTGCTGTGTGAGTGTCACGTGGTAGACGGGCTGTGTGAGTGTCACGTGGTAGACGGACTGTGTGAATGTCACGTGGAAGAAGGGTTGTGTGAGTGTCACGTGGTAGACGGGCTGTGTGAGTGTCACGTGGTAGACGGACTGTGTGTGTGTCACACGGTAGACGGGCTGTGTGAGTGTCACACGGTAGATGGGCAGTGTTGGTGTCACTTGGTAGATGGATTGTGCGAGTGTCACGTGGTAGACGGGCTGTGTGAGTGTCACGTGGTAGACGGACTGTGTGAGTGTCACGTGGAAGATGGACTGTGCGAGTGTCACGTGGTAGACGGGCTGTGTCGGTGTCACGTGGTAGACGGGCTATGTGTGTATATAAATACATCATTCATAATCAAATTTATCTGATCTGATCCATCTATATTCTGGGTCAATGTTAACTGAGAAACTTATTCTCTGTTTGACTATCTATAATACTGTAAATAACGAAGTACTTAATTACAGGTTATATGCATGGATAGTGATTTGTTT